CTATCTCCCTTTAGAGTATCAACCACAGCTACCCAACCAAAGTTAGGATTACAAGTGACATGAATCTTGATAGCTCAAGGGATGAATTCATATAGACACTTTTCATCCACTAAAAGATACATTACTGCTTGAATGCGTTATTTCATGCACTTGATCTAAAGATTAGATTTCCAATATTCAGAACAGAGATATGTAAATTTCATCAATTTTTCAAAGCATTTATATCAGACAGACAGGCAGAATCAGATTAATATCTAAGCTACTATAATTTCTGAGAAACATTAAAATCTTAAATTAGTGCTACATACAGAATTTAGATTTGCAGCTAAAAAATGAAACAAAGTCTTTAGTTTTTTTCTAACAGCACTTTTCCAGGACATTCTCAAGGCTATGAAATTCTCCATTCCTGCATCCAATACTAGCCATCTGCAGAACTGTTATACTGGATGATGGCTCATATAACTTATTTCTTATATTAGCACAAGTGGATTGGGACTGTAACTTCATCTTACACAGGTCAATGCATGTAGCCATTCTTGGTGCTTTATACCCATCTGGTTCCTTCTGCACTCAGTCCTACCCAAATTGTAACTTCCACTCACCTTGTCATCTTACTCCCCACTTCTAGTTTTCACTCCCAATTGAGAGAAAAAAAATTGTCAGATCTTCAAAAACAGAACTTGAATTTTAAGTAAGGATATAACAGAAAAGAATGGTAGAATTAAATAAAATTCATTCTTTATGTGTAAATACGGGACATGTTTGTTTGGTTTGTTTTTTTTAAACCAAATGCAGTTTTAATAGCAGCCAAAGTTGACCTTTATTGTCCTACTGCTCCGCTTAAAAAACATGTTCAATTCAGATTTTCTCTCTCATCAGGAACCCTAATTCTACACAGTTTTCAGATACTGCCTATGCACATAAACAGCAAATGCTATCATACTTCCTTCCACACTCTACAAAAGATTCTCTATATAACCTTGCATTGCTCTCAAGTTTAAACATTGACCACTCTTGGTGCTTTTTTCAGCCCCACCTTGTTGAAACCTCCACTTGGCCCTTTTGCAGTCAAACCTTATTTTCTAGCCCACAATTTCACCCCATGCTTAATGGGAAAAATTTAATTGCTAAAATCATCTTTATTCTTACCTCTAGGTATTGGAAGGGGAAGAGCAGGTAGCAAGAGTGTGTTAGTTATAAGGAAAAATTAAATATACATTGTAGCTGTCCACAGACAAGAACAATTAACATACATAACTGAACATGAAGTAATTATGGAACATCTTTACATTGACATACTTAAGAAGAAAATAGTAGTCAGGTTGTTATTTATACATTTGTCTAATTTTACAAGCTCTCAAAAGCATCCTGTTTAGCTCCCTGTTAATTCCTTGAATACAGATCTAAATTCATGTAACTTGGTTCATTTGTCTACACTGCATTCCAAACAATGTCTGCATGCAAAATATTCCAAAATAATTTAAGCGATAAAGTCTGAAAAGTTTCAAGAAAACTTTTCTGATGACACTGAATACTGATGCTGAAAATGTAAAGAATTCACTTTAAAATTATACACACGAAAATTTTTAAATTTGGCAATGCACAACTGATGTGTGTAAAACTTTAAGTCAGAGGGTTTTCATTACACACAGTTATTTGAAAAGTGTTATCTATCTTGGAAGCCTAGTGTAAGAAACCTCCTCTAATGATATTAGATTTTCAGAAAGCTGGAGAAGATGATCACTAGTTTTTTCCAGGTTCCCCTCCATAAGGAAAGAAAGCAAATCCCTTTAGTACAGCATTGCATTATGTGGCTATATTACTTCTGTACTGGAGCTAGCACATGCAGAACTCAGGGGTTTTTGATATAGCACCACCTTATTTCATATAGGCATAAAGTGCAAGTTGCTTTTGTACTCAAGATGTTACTTGTAATCATTTTTATATGCATAAGAAACAAAACTGATTAATTACATTTCTTTACTGACTTTTTAAAAATTAGTTGTATACAATGTTCAAACTAGCCCTAAAAATTGGGGGATAAATCTGCTTGTTAAATATGAACTGCTCCCTATTCATCACCCTCCAAATCTATTAAAATTATTTCATTTGTTATCTTACCACAGGAATCAAAATCCAAATATAGTTCAACTTGTTCTGGCAACACAAAATCTTGAATATCCATAAGACAAAAATACCTTTTGACACAGCACTGCCTTATTCCATATAGGCATAAGCTGTAAGTTGCTTTTGCACTTACTTGATGTTGTTCCTTGTAAACATTTTTGTGTTAAAAAAACCCAAAAAACCTGTGGAACTGAGGAACTACATTTCCTTACTGCTATAGGCTAAAGCTTGTAGTACATTCATAATGCTGTCAGATCAGGTTAAGAAAACAATATGGTGACTTAAAAAAAACAAAAACAGCTTTCATGAAAGTATTTTTAATTACAAAGACTAGGTTGGCGATCTCCTAAGTAATCAGAATAAGACAGTCTGTGCAGCACATAACCTTCAACTTACCTGAAAGAAAGGTTTAAAGGATAGTCAGTTCCTAATCTGACTTCTCAAAATTCTAGAGTCTACTAAAATGCTTCTAATTTATTACGAAAGTGAACTGGAAATATGGGATTAGTGCATTACAATTTCTGTTATCCTATGATATGGTAAACTTGCTCTATGAACTGGATGGGTGGATTTCCCCCTCCATCCTTTAGAAGGAAAGTTAGTTACATAACCTTGACCTTCTTGGGAACAAACAGCAGAATCAATCTCAGCAGGTGTTAAGATTTAACATTTTCTGGTGACATTCAAGAGGATCCGTCTGTCCTACATACCCCTGGGAAATCTATGATCTTTACATTTTTTCCCTAGAAGCGCTATTCATTTACCATATATTCCCTCAGTTAAACCCAACAACTTTCTACCTGAAGTGAAGGGAGAAAGTGTCCCCTCTGAACTCAGTGCTACTACTATCTGGGGGAGTCAATGTGAAGCCACAGACTCATCTCCTCTATCAGTGTAGCATGTTACAGTCAGAGCACTCAGGCACTTAACTCTATTTTTGCTGTACATAGCATTTTTTAGTTCTATAGTAGGGCAAAAAATTGTATGTTTTTGTGCAAGCACGAAAATGACAAGTTACATTTTTCTATTAGTTTTGACTGGCCAATTAAAAAAGACAACTGTCCAAGTACATGTTTCCAAATAGCTAAAAGTTTGTAATTTAGTATTGCTATAAACATGAAATGTGATTTACAATTTAAGATCAAGTGATATTTTTCCCCAATTAAATGTTGCTGGTTTTCAATTGCAACTAACTGGTTTGACAAAAGCAACTCTAAACTTTTGGAAGTTGAAGATGAGTCCACTTTTAAGCCAAATAATTTTATAAGAAAAACTTTAACAAAGTGGCACTGCATATTCTGTTTTTAAAACAAACTCTTTATTGTATGTTGCAATGCCATATCTCCTCTTACTCATCTGCTTAGTTATCAGCAACACCCGTCAGAGCCAAAGGAGGAATGGGAGAAGAGGAAAAAAAGGGGCAGAAACTAGTAGAGGTACTCCCTTTCATCTCATCAGATTAAAATGAAGGGATTTATTACTTCTCTTAAAGTTTTATTTGTAAGTCCAATGAAATACTACCATAGGCAAAACTTTCATTATTAGTTTTGCTTAGGAATTTTTTGGGGAAGGGAACATATTAGTAGAAGAGGGAAAAGCTACCCATGTTAAAAATAACTGCTTGACAGGATTCCCTCTCAGATATTTCTTGACCCTCAGTCAAATAGCTGAAGTCTTTGTTCAATGTACAGTTAGTAGATTTAGACATTCAAGTTTTCAAAAGAAAAATCACTTGCATACAAAATAAACTCAACCAATTTACCTAGTATAGTTTTTGGTGGAAGGCAACAGGAAGCTTCTCTAACAAGAGTAACAGACCTAATGTATAATCAGTACTCAAAATAGAAGAGCTTCAAGGAGTTCCCCGAAATCCAGTTAAACACTAAGCCATATGATTTCAGAACAGACCGCTGACCCAGTAGTTAACAGTATTATATTTTATATGAGGTCATTATTTCTAAGCTTGTCTTAAGCAAGTATGCAAGATGGCTTAAATACTCTCCATACCACTTTCTTAAATTACATGTTTCTTTAATATTAAATTCACTCTACAATGCTGTTTACACACACTAAAACCTCCAATGGTTATTTCTGAGCTGGGAAGCCCAGGATGCTTCCCCTCTTTGGGCATCTCAAATGGTATATACAGACATCAGGCCCTATAACTTTGAACCTGAAAGCAGAAATAAAGGATATGAAAATAACAAATATGAACAATGAAAAATGCTGTGCCGTACATTCAGTTATTTAAGAACTGTGTAAAGTTGATTATGAACCGGGTTTGGTTTTTTTCAAAGAATGCATATTTAAAAGCTTCATTTTCTGAAGTTATCAAACAAATGTAAATAATTGTGTACTTGATGTAAGGGTGAGTTGCCTCATTTTGTACATATTAGTTAATTTCAATACATACATATTACTGAGGTAAACGCTCAGAAATCGAAACTATACAAGATTCATCTAATCATGTAAAAACGTTTACATTAACTTGGTATTGATGCATTTTATCTAAAAGTAAACGAGCTGCTGAATCTCTGCCACGCTTAAGCAGCACAATAATATTGGGGTTTGATTTACTTTAATACGCCAATATTTACGTGCTGCTAGGGCGGAACAAGTATGGCAAATCTTCTATTCATCCAGGTGACAGGAACACAACCTATTAATAAAACTTGGCAGAAGAATTATCTTCAACTGTGTCTTTTCCTTAAATTCCTAAAGCAGCAAATAATGATTAGCATCTTTACAAGATCATGCAAACCATGATGTGCTGCTAGAGTAATTTAAGGTCTCAAATGAAAGACTCAGGTAACCTAAATAAATTTATTATATGGACTTAAAACATTGCCAAGTAAATATATTCACAAACTTACCTGTAAAATTAAAAACCTATTATGGTCCAGGTCAATTCCATGACTTCGAAGTAGAATACCAACATCTTTGAATGTTTTTTTCTTCCCACTGATTTGGTAGACAGAAGAATTATCTCTGTAAGCAGTTCTAGATACACAGAAATTGCTGTTAGGAATGACTTCATAATCATCTCCTTCCTGTTTTGAGGAAAAACAAAACCAGAAAAAAACAAAATTGTTACTATTGAGTCACCGCTTTACTTCAGTTTCCACCATTAAATAGTTTTACCATCCCATTCAGGTTTTCAGAAGTCAATTGCACCCTAGGTCCCAGTTCTGTTGAAACCTATAGTAAAAATACTAGAGTGTAGACACCTCACAAAACATGCAAAAGTCTGCCTTGCAAAAACAGCTTTAAAAAAAATCAGCATAGAACTACTCTAACTTGTTTAAATGAGTAAACCCTTTTTTTTATGCCTGTGCCACCTCTTACATAGGTTAGTATAAAAAAGACCTAATTTAATCTCAGTTTAGCATCAAAAGAAAGATTCTATCATTCAAATCAAAAAGGAAAAAGCTAATTTCAAATAAAAAAGCTACTCCTTTCTTTATTTTTCAGATGAAGCAGCCCCGAATGACTTATCCTCTGTGTATCCATGCTCTTATAGCACGAGGAGATTTTTTTTTTTTAAGTTAACTGCCTCTAAATACATTTTTTATTTAAAAGAAATGGACCATAAACACAGTAAAACCAAATGTCATGACCAGATAGAAAAAAAATCCACTTAAGTTCACCTGAAATAGTAACTAAAACAAAAATTGATACCAATTATTTATAAAAGTTTTAAAGAAACATGCATCAATTTTAAGAATTGGGAAAGTGGTTTACCACTTTCCCAGGCTAACTCTCAAGGGCACAGTCAACTTTGCTATCAAAGTACATTCAGAAATTATATCACTCCATAAACTTAGTTAGCTTCTAGGTACCAATACAAATTCAAATGAAAACCACAATAAATCTTGTACCTGGAATTGGCAGTCTACTATAAATGTAAGTAAAAGTTTTATTTGTGTTATATTGAAATTTAATTTGGACAAATAGTGCTTGAATAAGAAAACCTGATTTTTTTCTTAATTTAACCTATCTATCAAATATACATTTTGGTATTCTAATAGCTAAAAATATTTTAACTTTCAAAAAGCTTTTTAGTATTTATGGCAAGAGATAGGTACACTTCCTACTTCTATTTCTTCAACTCTGTGCACACCATAACCCCAAACTTAAAATTCCTTGGACACTCTTACTGATATTTGAGTCGAGTTTTGTTGAAAAAAATACACTAAAAATATTAAAATGTTTTTATTTAAATAAAGTCAAATTTTCTCTAATACTCTATGTTCCCAATAAGTCAAAATTATACAAAAGCCTACAACTAGGTAACTGAAGTGGAAAATCAAATAAATGTTTTGAATTCTGTAGTTGTTTCAGCCAAACTGAAAAATCATTCAACACTTAGCCCTAAATATTTCTGAAATTATTCAGACTTTTGAACAAGAAAGTATCAGCTTAAAATTTAAGATATGCACTAAAATATGAGAACACCACAAAAGTTTTCAATTTTACTTTTAAGCTACTCTAAGCTGAAGTAGAAAAATAGTAGTGATGGGTATAAATTGTTTAGTAGTCACAATCCAGAAGACTCATGCTATTGGTTCTTAGGACTTGCAAAAAAACCTTATCTATGGAGTTGCTAAGAATTTTAAAAATATATAGATATTTGAAAGAGAATGAGTGCAAATTTCTAATATTATTTGATAGTAGAACAAGTCTTTTATATTTCTAAATATATTAAAAATTAATTTCACCTACTTTGTGAATCAAAAGATATAAATATATAAAAATTATCTGCTTTATGCTGCATAATTTAGCTAATTAATTTAATAGGAGAAAAGGGGGTTACTTCATAAGGATAAAACCAATCGCATCCTAACCTAGTTCCAAATTTAAACACAAAAATGCTAAAAATTCTAAAATAATTATATTATTTTAGAATTTTCATTCTGTCCATTTTTATATATAGCCTCAGTATTTTCAAGCAGAATACATACCTTGTCAATGATCTTTTGAAAGTGTACTTCCACAGTACAACTCTGGATGTCCTTGTGTTCGTCAGAATTGTGGATCAGCACAGAGAGCTTTTTGGATCTGATTTTTTGTGCCCGATATCCAAATACAAAAAGCATTGAATCAATTACATTGGATTTTCCACTGCCATTTGGCCCAATAATACATGAGAAGCGCTGCATGTTATAGTAAGGAGGGGAAAAAAAAACAACAATATTCGAACCTTAGAACAGTTACTGGCCAATGTACTTCATCTATTCTGTTTGTGGATAGCTTAAAATGCTGTTATTTCTAGTGCAGGAAATTGCAGGCTATTGGGAAGCTTAGTTTTTTACTGCCAAGGGTAAAAAAAAATACAACCTATTTATACACACCTCCAGTGAGCTCAGATTTCTGAATTTTATCCTGTAAACTCAGAAAGCTATATCATATCAAATAAGCATGGTTTATAAAGAAACTAGTTCTTAATATATTGACATGTTCTAATGTGGTTAATTTTTAGTGTTCTTGTGTTTGTGATTTAACCCCCCAAAAGGAGTTAAAAAAATGAAGTTAAGCAAAGAAAAATTGCTTTATTATTTTAATTTAATTTGCACAGTATCAGAAAGTTACAGTTTGACTCTAAACTGTCCATTTTCTCTTTCTGACATTAAAATAAATTAGAATGGTTTTAAATGATATTACTCTAACTCTCCTACTTTAAATATTTAAGTCAAATACTTATTTTGGGATAAATGTGTTTAAAGTACTTTAAGTACTAGACACACGAGATCTTACCTTCATTTAAGAAATACAAAAAAAAGAAAGAAAAAAAAAGAAAAATACCTTATGAAAAGGTCCCAGAATTTGCTCCCCAGCATAGGATTTGAAGTTCTGGTTTACAATATGAGTTATCATGAGGCGAGGAGCTCCAGCTTCATTGGTCATTGCTGGTGGTGGGGGAGGAGAGATGCTACTCAAAATTTCTTCTAAACTTCGATTAGCAAGTTCCTCATTTAAGGCTGCTAAAATACATACAAAACAGAAGAAAAAAATAGAAGTGATGAGCTCTGGATGACTAGAAAGCCCTTAAAATATCTAATTTAAGTACTAAAGCAAAAAAACTTGTTTCTACCCAAACTGGAATCTACCCTTTGACTTTTTTTAATAGTTAAAGTGAAGTAGACTTTAAGCACCCCACTTCACAAGGGCTATTTTATTTTGTCTTTTATGAAGTAGATACCCAAGATACCCCATTAGTTCACTTGTGAGTTCACATTCATTATGTAATTCTTATTTCCACATGCTTCAGAAGACAGTGTGCAATTACAACAGCTATGACTATTGCATTAAATCTACAAATCCAGACAAATAGGTTAATTCCTTCTAATTAATAACTGTATAGCAATATTTCAGACATGCTGACAACTCGCTTTAAAAAGTAGATTTGGGGACTGCTGCACAATGCTCTGGAAGCTGTAATGACAGCACAAGTACTCTTCAAAGACAGGAAGTTTGTTACGAAAAAACAAACTGGCCCCTGGATTTCAATTAGTTATAGCAAAGCAGATTTTCAGCTGTTTCAAACAACTCTTCCTTAAGTGGATACCAGTTTGGCACAGCTGTCTGCATATTAAAAGAATTTAATATTTTATTTTAGCAGCAACACATCTATGCCTACATAAAGGCTATGACTAGTCTTTCTACAATTGTTTTCAGCACAAAATCTATTCCAGTAAACTTTTATATAAAGTACTCATGAAGAATTAAGTCACAAACTAATTATGTATTCAATCCCCAGAAAACCCATATTACTATCCAAATAAAAAGTTCACGCTATTCTACTACAATCCGAAGAACAAGATAACTCAAAAACAGGCATAGCCTACCAACAGCATTTTACCTTAACTAGAACAGTGATGAAAGACTTAACTCTTTCAAAGCCATATAAAAATCAGATTTAAATTCAACCTGACAAAGTAAAAGTTTATATAATATCACTTCTTAGAAAAAGAAAAGCAAGTTTAACTTGCAACAGTTCAGTTCAACTTATTGCTCAAAGCACATATCACCAAGTTTGCATGCATGGCACAACAGAATAACAATACACAGACTTACCTTGCTGAGACAGTTTACCGAGATGTGCATCATCTCTTCCCATTTCCATGTCACTGGTGGATTCTTCGATGGGCTCTTTTCCTTTTTGACAAGCTGCTGTAGATGTTTTGGTTCTCTTCCTTGGCATGATCGCTGTTGGCTGTTCCCCTCTGATTCCAAGCAATCAAAACTACTGTAGGGATCTCTTTCCTTTGCTAACACAAACAAGAAAAAAACCCCATGACTCAAGTGCTGGGCGTATCACCCCCTTTAGGATTATACCCACATGTATGCCCAAACACCAAAAAAATAAACCAAATTCATGATTGAATAGTCAAAATACAACTCGATTTAAAATAGAAACTAAAGCCCAGGCTTATAATCACCGTATTTCAAAGGCCCTCAAAATGAGACTTACTCCCTCACAGCTACACGGTAGGGAAGATTGGCTATTGAAACTGTAAAAGCCACATTTTGTGCCATCGTTGATGCATAACAGCCAAGTTCAGATAGAGAGTAACTATGATGCTACTGGCAAAATTGTGCTACTCGAGTAATAAAACCAAATGAACATCTCATATGGCTATATGCTCAGACAAATGTGTATCTACAGAATCCTGACATTTTAAGAACATCTTCAACAAATATTGTACTTTTAGTTCTATTATCTAACAATATTCAAGGATATTTCCATCATTTATAAAAGCTCTAGTCCAAAGTAGATTAGACTGATAAAACACTGCCCACGAGAAGTAGAAAAGTTCCCACTACAGTCACTTTTTTTTTTTTTTTTTTAAATAAAAAGGGCCAAAAAAGCTAGTAAAGCAA